CCTAACTAACCCTAACTAACCCTAACTAACCCTAACTAAACCTAACTAACCCTAACCCTAACTAACCCTAACTAACCCTAACTAAACCTAACTAACCCTAACCCTAACTAACCCTAACTAACCTAACTACCCTAACTAACCCTAACCCTAACTAACCCTAACTAACCCTAACTAACCCTAACTAACCCTAACTAACCCTAACTAACCCTAACTAGCCGTCATTGTCCAATGTGTCCGCAACGGGAAGGACACCACTTGTACACAATTCGCCGCCGCCAATGAAACCTTCGACAACATTGAAGAGCAGGTAACGCAACTCAACCTCGACCTCAATGTCACTCACACCGCCCCCACTCCTGCAGTCTCTGTCCCCATTGCCGCTGCTCCCCCACCTACTACTGTCCCTGACTTCAGGCCTGAAAAGTTTCCATACCCTGAAAAATTCGACGGTACCCGCATGAAGCTCCCCGGATTCACCACTCAACTCGGAATGAAACTTGAGGTCAACCACGATCGATTCCGAAATGAGGCAGCAAAAGTTATCTATGCCGTCAGCTGCTTGGAAGGAAGAGCCCTTGACCAGGTCGTTCCACTCATTAACGCTAACCCTACTGGCCCCTTCTCCTCCGTCACTGCCTTCGTTGCCTACCTGGAAGCCTTGTTTGGAGATCCAGATCCCCAGGGTACCGTCCGTCTCCAACTCGTTGCCCTGAAGCAAAGCAAAGGGGACTTCGCCATCTATTACTTACAGTTCCTCCGTATGGTGACCTACCTAGACTACAATGAAGGAGCCAAGCTCAATGCCCTGATCGAAGGACTGTCGGAAGACCTGAAGGATGCCACGATATACCGGGCGGACAGGCCTAACACTGTAGTGGATACATGACCATGTTAATGACAATCGACAACCAGGTTCGGGGCCGTAAAGCTGAACAACGGGCCATCAATAATATGATGGGACAATTTACCGCCCCCGCCGCTGTCACACACCCATCTCATGCCGCTGGAGACCTCCCCCCAATAGACCTCTCCACCCTCGAAGCCCATCCCACTCAATGCCCTGCCACCGAACAACGATGCACCTTTGTCAATGGACAACGCAAAACCTCCACCGCTGAAAACCAATGGAGAAGGGATAACAATCTCTGTATGTACTGCCCAAACCCCGGGCATGTCTTCGCCAACTGCCTTTCTGCCAATCACCTGCCTGGGAACCAACCGGTTATGAGGGGCACCATCCTCGCACCCACGCATACTGCCGCCGACCCAACTGTACCACCGATCGCTAGCTCCGCCTCCTCTGAGTCGGATTTTCAATTGTCCCGGGCTTGATTAATGGCTCCTCCCCGAGACCTTCTAATGTTTCTCCTTTGTCTGCGTTCTCTATCTCTAGCTTCTCAGGATTATCTGTGGAGGATAAATTGGATGGGGATCATTTTGTTGCTTCTTGTAAAATTGTAAACAATAAAATATCCATTCAAACTCACGCATTGATTGATACCGGTTGCTCCGGATTCGCATTCATTGATGAAACATTCGCGCGCCATAACAACTTCCCATTTCTCCCCCTCAAATCACCCTGCACTGTTGAAGTCATCGACGGACGGCCCATATCCTCTGCACAGATTACCCACCTGTGCTACCTACCGCTGTCAATTGACTCCCACCATGAAACTATCCCCTTTTTCGTCACCAAACTTGGCTCATACCCACTCGTGCTCGGGATACCTTGCCTTCAAATACATGACGCCAAATTACGGTTTAAGGACAATAGCATACTGTTCGACTCAGAACACTGCAAATGCAACTGCAACTCCTCCGCAATACCGTTCCCATTAGAGGGATTGCACCAGCACCCCTCTTCCACCTCGTCAGTTCAGCTGCCCTCTGAAACTTTTCTCGAAGGAACAAGCTCCAAATCTTCAACACAACTATCGAGGAAATCGACCAAGCCATGGACGAGGCCTCTGAGGAAGACTGGAGGAACCAAGTCCCAACCTGGTACAAGAAGTTCCACCAGATAATGGACGAGAAGTTCGCTAATAAAATACGGCCTCGCCGCCGCTATAACCATAAGATACCATTTAAGGAAGGAAAAGAATCCCCGTTTGGGCCACTTTATGGTATGTCCCGTGAGGAACTCATCGTGCTTAAGCAATACATACAGGATACCCTCCAAAAAGGCTTCATTCAGGCTAGCTCTTCACCTGCCGGTGCCCCTGTTCTATTTGTTAAAAAGGCCGATGGGACGCTCCATCTCTGTGTCAATTATCGTGGCCTCAATGAACTCACTGTCAAAAATCACTACCTGCTGCCGCTCATCCGGGAAACTCTCGACCGCCTTTCCAAAGCCAAGTAGTACACCAAACTTGACCTTCGCCAACGGTACAATCAGATCCGAATGGCTGAGGGTGAAGAATGGAAAACAGCCTTCCGAACGCGTTACGGGCATTTCGAATATACGGTGATGCCCTTCGGCCTTACCAATATGCCAACCACCTTTCAACATTTCATCAATGATTGCGTCCGCGACTACCTCGATATGTTCTGTACAGCCTACCTTGACGATATTCTTATTTACAGCGACACCTTCGAGGAACATCAAATACACGTCGAAAAAGTCCTGGAAGCCCTACAAAGAAATGGAGTACTGTTGAAACCAGAGAAATTTGAATTTCATATACAAAGCACCACTTACCTCGGCCTCATTATCGAATCCAACGGTATTAAAATGGACCCAAGGAAAGTGAAGACAGTAAAGAATTGGACTGTCCCCAAAACAGTTAAGGATCTGCAAGCGTTTCTAGGTTTCGTTAACTTTTACCGTCGATTCATAGGTGGATTCTCTGAAATGGCTTCCCCCCTTACCACACTGACACGTAAGGACATATCATTCGAATGGACACTCGAAACTCAAACTGCCTTCAACGCCCTGAAAAAATACTTCACAATGGCTCCCATTCTTACCCATTTCGAACCGAAGAATGAAATTACTGTGGAAACCGATGCATCTGACTATATCTCTACAGGCATACTCTCCCAATACGATGATAATGGTACCCTTCGACCCGTCGCATACTTCTCAAAAAAGCACTCCCCTGCCGAATGCAACTACGAGATTTACGACAAGGAGTTACTGGGGATTATTCGATCTTTTGAGGAATGAGGACCGGAACTTGAAGGGATTGCATACCCAATTGCCGTCATATCCAATTCTCAAGGGGGTGAGTAGCGAGTATTCCGCAGGGTACGAAGAGTGTAGTAGGGGGCGGTATGGGAATTCGCAATAGGGGTACTACGGGATTCTAGCATTGGTAAAGTTCGACGGGACACGGAGGAGGCGAGGCGGTGGTCTTCTTAAAGAAAGAAGAGGACGATAATATTGTATAGCAATAAACAGCGTAGATACAGAAGACGTTGCGTAAAGAAAGAAGAAGGAAAAGAACAAGAAGTACAAACAACCCCCCTTAATATACTCAAGGAAATCCCAGCGATGACAAATCCAACATGACTCATACATTAACAATCAACAGAACCCGATAGAACTCAATAGAACCTTTCTGACTAATCCAACTCTTCGTAACCCCGTTCCTCCACTAGTCATTCCATGAAACCGATCATGAGAACCTCGAATACTTTATGAGTCCTAAACAACTTAGGCGGAGACAAACGCGCTGGGCAGAATACCTATAATGATTCAATTTCGTCATCAAGTACCGACCAGGAAAACAAGGGGTAAACCGGATGCATTGACAATGAGATCAGGAGATCTCCCTGGAGAGGGGGATGAAAGGCAATTACACCAAAGTCAAGTTGTATTGAAGGAGACTCTTGAAGCAAAGCTAAGTTTGTTGGCGGGTTCTTTCTCAAATGAGCGCGCTGAAAAGAATGCCTCACTGAATAGACTATTCGATGAAGGATATAGCTCTGACCCATCTCCACAAAAGATACTGGATATGCAGAACAAAGGTGAACGACAATCAAATGACATATCACTTTCCGAATGCACCGAGGTTGCAGGCCGGTTGCTCTACCGAGGCAGCATATATGTACCTGAATACGAACCTCTTCAGCTCCGGATCTTCCAACTTTACCAAGACGCTATCTCCACCAGACATGCTGGACGCAAAAAAAACTTTGAACTCATCAGTCAAGACTGCTACCCGCCCATTATGTGGAATTATATTGCCCGCTACGTTCGGAACTGCCACACCTGTCAACGAAGCAAGCCCAATACCCATGGAAAACTCGGCGTCCTTCGACCTTTACCGATTCCCGAACAACCATGGCAGGAGGTATCAATGGACTTCGTTACTGGCTTACCGAAGAGCGAAGGGAACGAAGCAATTATGGTAGTTGTTGACCGGTTAACAAAGATGCGACATCTCCTGCCCTGTAATACCACCGTCAACTTCGAAGACCTCACCCAACTATACCAGCAAAATATATGGAAGCTCGACGGGCTACCTACACATGTCAACTTTGACCATGGCACGCAATTTACAGCCAGATTTTGGAGGGCTCTCTATAAACACCTCGCCATCGAAGCGAGAATCTCCACAGACTTCCACCTGGAGACCGACGGCCAAACTGAAAGACTGAACGCCATAATAAAACAATACCTATTTAGATACGTCTCTTATCAAAAGGACGATTGGGTAAAATTGCTCTCTGTGGCATAATTCACCGCCAACAATCAGGTCTCCACATCCACCAAAGTGACACCATTCTTCTCGAATTATGGTTCTCACCTCTGGTTTACAGTGACGATCAAATCGCTTGACGGGACACCACCGAGCCTTAATGGCAAAGACTTCGCCTCGAAGATAAAATAACTCCACGAACACCTATATTCCAATATCCGCACGGCGTAAGAGCAACAAGAATACGCCGTTAATGCCAAATGAATGCAGGCCCCGCGTTACAATATCAGCGATATGGTGTTTGTTTCAGTAAAAACATCTGAACCACCTGTAACTCTTGGAAGTTGGAGTGGAAGAAACTGGGACCGTTCCCCTTCAAAGAAATCATATCGCCAAATGAATACCGAATCAACCTGCCTAGCAGTATGAAAATGCACCATGTCTTCCATCTATCGTCGCTAGACTCCGCTGCAAATGATCCTGTCCCGGGGCAAATTCAACCACCGCCCTCACTCTCAAGGGGGCGAGTAGCGAGTATTCCGTAGGGTACAAAGGGTATGGTAGGGGTCAGTGTGGGAACTCGCAATCGGGGTTCTAAGGGACTCTGACATCAGTAATGGTCAACGGAACAAGGGGAAGCGAGGCGTTGGTCTTCTTGAGTAAAGAAGAGAAAGATAATATTGTATAGTAATAGACAGGGTAGATGCAGAAGACGTTGCGTAAAGAAAGAAAGAGAGAAAAAGAACAAAAAATACAAACAAACCCCCCTAATATACCCAAGGAAATCCCATTGATGACAAATCCAAAGTGACTCATACATTAACGATCAACAGAACCCGGTAAACCCAATAGAACCTTTCTAACTAATCCAACTCTTCGTATCCCAGTGTATTCACCAATCGATCCATGAAACTCACCTATTATCGTTGAGCAGGAGGAGGAGTATGCAGTTGAGGAAATCTTGGACTCACGAGAAACACGAATCAATGGCCTGCAATATTTTGTTAAATGGACAGGCTATACCGACCCTACCTGGGAACCCGCCGCATACCACGACAATACCGCCGCCGTTGATATCTTCCATACACATTACCCCGACAAACCTGAACCATTGGAAGGAAAGATTAAGGTTAAGGCTCGCAGGAGCTCGCGCTTGAAGGGAGGGGCTACTTTCATGGATCGATTAGTGGATATACGGAGTTACGAAGAGGTCGATTAGTCAGAAAGGTTCTATTGGGTTCTACCGGGTTCTGTTGATCGTTAATGTATGAGTCATGTTGGATTTGTTATCGTTGGGATTTCCTTGAGTATATTAAGGGGGGTTTGTTTGTACTTTTCCTTCTTTTTCCTTCTTCTTTCTTTACGCAACGTCTGCTGTATCTACGCTGTCCATTGCTATAGAATATTATCATCCTCTTCTTTATTCAAGAAGACCACCGCCTCGCTTCCTCCTGTCTCGTCGACCATTACCAACGCTAGAGTCCTTTAGGACCCCTATTGCGAGTTCCCATACCGTCCCCCATTACACTCTTCGTACCCTGCGGAACACTCGCTACTCGCCCCCTTGAGATTACGTTGCGTCGTCATCCGCACCGTACGACATGTCTACCCCCGACCCACCTGTATGGGCCCCACCCAACGATGTAGAAGGATTCAGGCAGCAGTATGAGGCCAACTCTGCCGAATTATTCAACAACATCGCCGTCCTCGTCCAGCGCGTCCGCTTCCAGAGGGACACCCTTCATACACAATTAACCGCCGCCAATGAAACCATTGACAACCTCGAGGAGCAGGTAACCCAGCTCAACCTTGACCTCAATGTCGCCCGTGCCACCCCCGCCCCTACCGTCGCTGTCCCCGTTGCCGCTGCTCCCCCACCTGCTACTGTCCCCGCCTTCAGGTCCGAAAAGTTTCCAGACCCTGAAAAATTCGATGGCACCCGCACCAAGCTCCCCGCATTCACCACCCAACTTCGAATGAATCTTGAAGTCAACCACGATCGGTTCCGAAACGAGGCAGCAAAGGTTATTTATGCCGTCAGTCGCTTGGAAGGAAGGGCCCTTGACCAGGTTGTTCCACTCGTTAACGCTAACCCTGCCGCCCCCTTCTCCTCCGTCACTGCCTTCGTTGCCCACCTGGAAGCCTCGTTTGGAGACCCAGACCCCCGGGGTACTGCCCGTCGCCAACTCGTCGCCCTCAAGCAAGGCAAAGGGGACTTTGCCACCTACTACTCGCAGTTCCTCCGTATTGTGGCATACCTGGACTACAACGAGGGAGCCAAGATCGATGCCCTGGCCGAAGGATTGTCAGAAGACATGAAGGATACCATAACATACCGAACAGACAGGCCTAACACCGTCGAGGCATATGCTACCATGTTGATGACAATTGACAACCAGGTTCGGGGCCGTAAAGTTGAACAACGGGCTATTCGGAATACGATGAGACAATTTACCGCCCCCGCCGCTGTCGCACACCCATCTCACACCACCAGAGGCCTCGCCCCAATGGACCTCTCCGCCTTCCAAGCCCGTCCCGCTCAACGTCCCACCGCTGAACAACGATACACCTTCGTCAATGGGCAACGTAAAACCTCTGCTGCCGAAAAACAATAGCGAAGGGACAACAACCTTTGTATGTGCTGCGCCAACCCTGGCCATGTATTCGCCAACTGCCCCTCTGCCAATTGACCACGTGGTATTCAAACAGTTATGAGGAGTGCCCTCCTCGTACCCGCTCATAATGCCGCCGACCCCGCTGCCCCACCTGTAACGGGGACTCTGGGCGTAGGAACTATGAAGCCAAGGAATACAACCGAGGCGAAGACGTGGACGTAGGAGGTTCGTGGACTATGGACTATGGGGCCGAAGGGTACACCTAACGCAAGAACGGGGACTGTGGACTATGGATGGTTGTACCTGGTCTAGTATACCGGGTAAACCCTATGACGTAGCATAAACCAAATAGTATTCGTGACTGTAAAGTACAGAGGTTGCATAAAGAGAAAAGGAAAGAAAAAGAAACAGAAGAATCACAAGACAACGCCCCCCTTATATATCCATACCCAATCTGAATGCTGGCTCATACCCTCGCATAACAGAAACAAAAAGAACATAATAGAAACCCGCTGTACAAATCCCAACCACACTATATAACCCTTCCTCCTCATACCCCAACACCTCACATAACCAAACCACATGGCTGCCGTTACACCACCGATCGCTAGTCCTGCCTCTTCTGAGTCGGGTTTTCAGTAGTCCCGGGCTTGACTAATGGCCCCTGCTCGGGACCTTCTAATGTTTCTCCTTTGTCTGCATTCTCTATCTCTGGCTTCTCGGTATCGTCTGTGGAGGTTAAATTGGATGGCGATCATTTTGTTGCTTCTTGTAAAATTGTAAACAATAAAATATCCATTCAAACTCACGCATTGATTGATACCGGTTGCTCCGGATTCGCATTCATTGATGAAACATTCGCGCGCCATAACAACTTCCCATTTCTCCCCCTTAAATCACCCCGCACTCTTGAAGTCATCGACGGATGGCCTATATCTTCCGGACAAATTACCCACCTCTGCTACCTACCGCTATCAATTGACTCCCACCATGAAACTACCCCCTTCTTCATTACCAAACTGGGCTCGTACCAACTCGTACTCGGAATCCCCTGGCTTCAATTGCACGATGCCACATTACGGTTTGAGGACAATAGCATACTGTTCGACTCCGAATACTGCAAACACAAGTGCAACTCTTCTGCAATACCCGTTCCCATCAGAGGGGTTGCACCACCGTCCCGTTTCCACCTCGTCAGTTCAGCTGCTCTTTGTCGCTTTGCTCGAAGGGACAAACTCCAAATCTTTAGTACAACTATTGAGGAAATAGATCAAACAGTGGGCGAGGCCCCTAAGGAAGACTGGAGGAACCGAGTTCCAACCCGGTATAAGAGGTTTCACGAGATGATGGATGAAAAATTCGCTAATGAGATGCCGCCTCGCCACCCCTATGATCATAAGATACCGCTTAAGTAAGGGAAAGAGCCCCCTTTTGGGCCACTTTATGGTATGTCTCGCGAGGAACTCATTGTGCTTAAACAATACATACAGGACAATCTCCAAAAAGGCTTTATTCAGGCCAGCTCCTCACCTGCCGGTGCCCCTGTCCTATTTGTTAAAAAGGCTGATGGAACACTCCGCCTCTGTGTCGATTATTGTGGCCTCAACCAACTCACTGTCACAAACCGCTATCCGCTGCCACTCATCCGGGAAACTCTCGACCGCCTTTCCAAAGCCAAGTGGTAAACCAAACTCGACCTTCGCCAAGGGTACAACCAGATCCGAATGGCTGAGGGTGAAGAATGGAAAACAGCCTTCCGTACGCGTTACGGACATTTCGAATATACGGTGATGCCCTTCGGCCTTACCAATGCACCAGCCACCTTTCAACATTTCATCAATGATTGCGTCCGCAACTACCTTGATATGTTCTGTACGGCCTACCTTGACGATATCCTCATTTACAGCGACACATTCGAGGAACATCAAGTACACGTCGAAAAGGTCCTGGAAGCCCTACAAAAGAATGGAGTACTGCTGAAATCAGAAAAATGTGAATTTCATACGCAAAGCACCACATATTTCGGCCTTATTATCGAACCCAATGGTATTAAAATGGACCCAAGGAAAGTGGAGACAGTGAAGAATTGTACCATCCCCAAAACAGTTAAGGATGTGCAAGCATTTCTAGGCTTTGCTAACTTTTACCGCCGATTCATACATGGATTCCCGGAACTGGCTTCTACCCTTACCAGACTGACACGTAAGGACATATCATTTGGATGGACACCCGAAGCTCAAACCACCTTCAAAGCCCTGAAAGAAGCCTTCACCACGGCTCCCATTCTTACTCATTTTGACCCGGAGAAAGAAATTACCGTAGAAACCGACGCATCTGACTATGTCTCTGCCGGTGTACTCTACCAATACGATGACAATGGTACCCTTCGACCTGTCGCATACTTCTCAAAAAAGCACTCCCCCGCCGAATGCAACTACGAGATTTACGACAAGGAACTACTGGCAATTATTCGGTCTTTTGAGGAATGGCGACTGGAACTTGAAGGAGCTGCACAACCAATCGCCGTCATATCCGATCATAAAAATCTCGAATACTTTATGAGTACCAAACCACTCAACCGAAGACAAGCACGGTAGGCAGAATATCTGTCGCGGTTTAATTTTGTCATCAAGTATCGACCAGGGAAACGAGGAGGGAAACCGGACGCGTTGACAAGAAGATCAGGAGATCTCCCTGGAGAGGGGGATGAAAGACAATTGCATCAGAGTCAAGTTGTGTTGAAGAAGGAGAATCTTGATGCAATGCTAAGTTTGTTGGCGGGTTCTTTCTCAAACGAGCCCGCTGAAAAGAACGCCTCACTGCATGGATTATTCGATGAAGGATATAGTGCTGACCCGTTTCCGCAAAAGATACTGGATATGCGGAACAAAGGTGAACGGCAATCAAAGGACATATCACTCGCCGAATGCACCGAGGTTGAAGGACGAACGCTTTACCGAGGCAGCATATATGTCCCTGATTACGACCCTCTTAAGCTCCAAATCCTCCAACTTTACCATGACGCCGCCTCTGCTGGACACCCGGGACGCGAAAAAACATTCGAACTCATCAGTTGAGACTACTACTGGCCCCTTATGTGAAATTATATTGCCCGCTACGTCCGGAACTGCCACACCTGTCAACGAAGCAAGCCCAATACCCATTGAAAACTCGGCGTCCTTCGACCTTTACCGATTCCCGAACAAACATGGCAGGAGGTATCAATGGACTTCGTTAATGGCCTACCGGAGAGTGAAGGGTACGATGCAATTATGGTAGTTGTTGACCGGCTAACAAAGATGTGACACCTCCTGCCCTGTAACACTACTGTCAACTCCGAAGACGTCGCCCAACTATACCTGCGAAACATATGGAAGCTGCACGGGCTACCCAGACACGTCACCTCCGACCGCGGTACACAAGTTACAGCCAAGTTCTGGAAGGCTCTTTGTAAACACCTCGACATCGAAGCAAGTATGTCCACCGCCTTCCACCCGGAGACCGACGGCCAAACCGAAAGGCTGAATGCTGTAATGGAGCAAGATCTACGTGGGTATGTCTCTTATCAACAGGACGATTGGGTAAAATGGCTTCCTCTAGCAGAATTCTCCGCCAACAATCAGGTCTCCGCATTCACCAAAGCTACACCATTCTTTGTGAACTATGGTTTCCACCCCAGGTTCACAGTGACGATTACATCGCTTGACAGGAACCCACCGAGTCTCAATGCTAAATACTTCGTCTCGAAGATGGAAGAACTCCACGAATACCTACGTTCCAACATCCGCACGGTGCAAGATCAACAAGAGCAGGCCGTCAATACCAAACGAACGCCGGCTCCACGGTACGATATCAGCGATATGGTGTTTGTTTCAGCAAAAAACATCCGAACTATGTGTAACTCCCGGAAGCTGTACTGGAAGAAACTGGGACCATTCCCCGTTAAAGAAATTATATCGCCATATGCGTATCGAGTCGACCTGCCTAGGAGTATGAAAATGCACCCCATCTTCCATGTATCATTGCTAGACCCCGCTGCAAACGATCCTGTCCCGGAGCAAATTCAACCACCACCCCCACCTATTATCGTCGAGCAGGAGGAGGAGTATGCAGTTGAGGAAATCTTGGACTTGCGAGAAACACGAAGCAATGGCCTGCAATATTTTGTTAAATGGATAGGCTATACTGACCCTACCTGGGAACCCGCCGCATACCACGACAATACCGCCGCCGTTGATATCTTCCATACACGTTACCCCGATAAACCCGGACCGTTGGAAGGGAAGATTAAGGTTAAGGCTCGCAGGAGCTCGCACTTGAAGGGAGGCGCTACTTTCTGAGAATTGGAGTGTGGGAGAATAGACGACTTGAGGAGGGTTTGAACACGTGACCTTTGTGAGGAATATGTTTATAGTGCAAAGAAGATACTATTGCGCCGCTGAGTTCCAGCGACAACTATGGGAGTTTGTTGCTCCTTATATACAGATAGTTCTTAGTACCACGTGATCCCTGATTACATAATCCTAGCGCTAAGCCTCCTTGTTTCAACTATGAGTCATCCCTTATACATGAGTAATTACCATACATAACCGATGTCGCAATGGCATATTTTTACACTTCCCCTCACTTGCCACATCGTATCAATTCTGACAATTTTTGGTGAGCTGGTTTTGGTAGTCCTTTGGTCATTATGTCCGCGACATTGTCTTCGGTAGGGACGTAGAGGATTTCGAAGGTTCCGGCTTCGAGTTGTTCACATGTATAGTGGTAGTGAACGTCGATGTGCTTGGACCGGTCGTGGATGCATGGGTTCCGACAGAGTTCAATAGAACCTGTATTGTCGGCGTGTATGAAGTACTGGTATTGTTGTTGGAGTTCGTGTAAGGCATTACGAATCCATACCAGTTGTCGAGCTGCGAGGGACAGGGCCATGTATTCGGCTTCTGTTGTTGAGACTGCGACTGATTTCTGCTTCCGGCTTCTCCAGCTGATGGCTGACTTCCCTAGTCTGAACACGTATCCTGAGAACGATTTTCTGTCATCTAGGTCTGAAGCGTAGGAACTGTCTGAGAATCCGTCGAGTGTTCTAGTATTCCCCTTCGGGTAGAACAGGTTCCAGTCTTTGGTTCCGTTGAGATATCGGAGAGTTCGCTTGGCTGCTCGTACGTGGTCCTCGGTTGGACATGAGGAGTACTGGGAGAGAGCGGTAACGGCATGGGTGATATCAGGTCTGGTAGCTATACTTGCATACATCAGTGATCCTATTATGGATTGGTACTCAGTTGGTTTCTCGATTTGGTCTTCCGGTTCGCCTTTGTGAAGGTTGAGGTTCGGTTCGAGTGGTGTGCCAACTGGTTTGCAGTTACTCATTCCAAATTTATCCAGGATTTTGTTGATGTATGCGCGTTGTGATAGTGTGATACCGTTGTTGGTTACCGTTATTTCTATTCCCAGTATGAACTTCGAGTTACCGAGATCCATACATTCGAAATCTGCCTTGAGTAGTTGTCTGATTTCCTTTCTGAATGGGGAGTCGGGTCCGAATATCATGATGTCGTCTACATACACCGATATGTATAGATGGTGGTTCTTATGTATGAAGACACATGGGTCGAATTTGGCTGGGACGAATCCTTTCCGTTGAAGGGAGTCTGCTAGGCAAGCATACCATTCACGGGGTGATTGCTTTAGTCCGTATATGCATTTTCGAAGTTTACAAACCTTGTTGTCCTGCCTGTAGCCTTCAGGCAGTTCCATGTATATTTCCTCCTTGAGTACACCATACAGGAAGGCTGACTTGACGTCCATTTGTTGTGGTATCCAACCGTTGTGTGCAGCTAGTGCCAGTAGGAGTCGTAGGGAATCATATTGTGCAACGGGGGTGAAGGTCTCATCGTAGTCTTGGTACTGTACTTGGGTGAAGCCTTTAGCAACGTACCTTGCTTTGTACCTCTCGATTGTTCCGTCCGTGTTGTGTTTCACTTTGAATACCCACTTTCCTTTGACTACTGCTCGGTTGGTTGGTCGGTTGACAATGTCCCAGGTATGGGCTTTGTCAAGGGCGTCTTTTTCAGTCTGTATCGCCTTTTTCCATAGGTCTTGATCGTCGCTGTTCATGGCTTGATGATAGGTTGAAGGTTCGGTTACAAGGTGTACACGGTAGATTGCAGGTTCATTGGATATATCTTGGTATTCTAGGTCCAGGTTCTTTCTGGCTTTTCTGATATCGGCTTTGAATTCTTCAATCATTACTTCACATTCGCCTTTATCCATTGGACCGTTCTCTCTAACTGATTCAATGTATCCTTTTTGTTGTTCCTGTAGTTGTATTACCTTGTTGTTGTATTCCTTCCTTCTTATTTCCTTATCAAGTTCATAATCCATTTTCTTACGGACGCGATTCGATCGTCTTGGAGCTGGTGGTCGATCTGATCGTTTTGGAGGTTGTGGTGGTATACCTTTGGGTGTCGTTGACACAAGTGGTTTTCCTTTGAAGCCTTTGAATGGTACGACTGGTGCTGGAATTCTTTCCCAGTTGTCTCTTGGGTCTCGCGGTTGTCCCATAGGTACGGCAGGTTCTTTTCCCTTGTGTGGTGTAGCCGGTGGTGGTTTTCTAACCAGTTCCGGTGATTCCGGGAACAATCCTGGCATTTCTGTACGGTTCTCTTCGATTGCATTTGACTTG